GTCACTACTGACTACGAAGTGAGGAAGGTAGCTTGGTAATGAAGTCACTTTTGGATTTGTCATCGAGGTCGCCGTTGTGAATACGGCAAGCCGTCGGTTACGAACACCGGCGCAAGACAACAAAGAATTCTTTAGCTGTCTTGGGACACGCTAGCGATTGTGAGCATGGAGTTTCCTCGAACGGCGACATCCGTGCTGAGGACGTGGAGCTCCCTGGTAGCGACCACGATGGCTCCGCTGGAACACGATCCCGATCGGAACGATCAAGGAGCCCGAGCATGGACCGTGCTGAAGACCGCGGACGGACGCGAAGCCTGACGACGGCGCGTAGGCCGTTTCGGTCTCCCGATCGACGTCGCCAACCGGTGGCGGTCGATGAGACGTGGCCGTTTGCCCGTGCGGCGTTTACGCCTTTAGTATCTGGCCAGACGACTGGGACGACCCGGAAGCGGCGGCAGACGAACCGAATGACGTGAATTTGAGCCAGGATGATGTCGTTTTGCGTAACGCCCCTGCCCTACCGAAAAACCTGACGTTCAAGGGATCCACGAAAGAAGAAAGTCGAGCGTTTATGGCCGCGTACAACCTGTACATCAGCCAGACGAACGCTTTGACTGCGAATGGCGTTCGGCCCTTTATCATGCCTGTGAGTGCGTGTATTGAGCCCATGACGAAACAACTTGTCGCCGAGTAGGACTTTTTAAGGACTCTGACAACGTATCTGAGGCTGAGTGGATCGCATGGTTCAATCAAGGCTACGTTGTGGACCCGCGTGCGTTGGAGACGTTGAAGAAACGCATCAAGACCGCTGTGGTGTTCGACATGTCCATCCCGGACGCGGACTCCCGGATTGGTCGGATGCTGGACGGTCTGGCTGCTGCTATCCGCCGGGATCGCCAGGAATGGGTGATCAAGGAAGAGTACGTTGTGGACCCGCAGAAACACATCAAGACCGCTGTGGTGTTCGACATGTCCATCTCGGACGCGGACTCCCGAATTGGTCGGATGCTGGACGGTCTGGCCGCTGCTATTCGCCGGGATCGCCAGGAATGGGTGATCAAGGAAAAGAGCTAAGCGATCGTGAATATCATCCAGGACGCCATCAAGCCGGCGTCGCTGAACCGGGCTGTTGCGGAGCAGATGGTTCTGTCCCGAAACAAGCCCTTGAAGAAAGACGTGCAAATTTTCGTACGCTGGTTGCGTGAATTCGCGATCGGTCACGAGCGATTCGTTGGCTTCGAGGTGGTGAAGCCGGAAGCTCCGAAGGTTTCTCTTCGAGGAGCCAAGCAGCCCCGACGTCGGACGTACCGCCAGGAAGACAGTTCGGCAGTGGCTGTCTGAAGTGTAACTCGACGAGTCATCGAGTCCGTGACTGTCCTGGCATCACCCGGGAAGAGGCCTCGAGGCTGCTCAAGGCTCGTGGATGGTCGCCTGGACGAGGCCGGAATGAGAACCAGAGAGATCCTGGTACTCCTGGTGGCCGTGTGGCGACGGTGCGAGTGGACACCAAGAAGCAAGATCGTCCTGGTCTCCAGACTGTGGTGGATGGAATCGTGTCGGTTCAAGCATCCCTCCTTGATTCGGGAGCTGACCTGTCGGTGGCCTCTGGTGGCCTGGTGTCTGCTCTGCTGGCAGCTGGTGCGTCGCCGGACATCACTGTCATGGGTCCTATGGTGCTCAGGCCGTATGGTACCGACAGTAAGCCGATTACTGTGACCAAGCAAGTGCGCCTGGGTAGCCTGGAGTTCAAGACCGCAAGTAGATCGCTGTTGTTGTGTGGTCTGAGTGTGTGGGCCGATGAATCTGACCCGAACGTGGAGCTCACGCTTGGTCTACCCGTCATGAAAACACTTGGATACGACGAGCAGACTCTCCTCGAGACCGCTCGGAAGCAGCAGGCTGTGTGGGATTTTGCAGACCAGCCTGTGACAACTCCTGGGGTGGCAATGCATCGAGCACTCCATCTGGTAGAGCTCTCTGATGAGTTCGACGATGATGAAGGCATGTGTTGCGCGACTCCGGAGGTGGAAGAGTCGCCTGGATCGGATGACGGTGAACATGTACATGCCGTTCTGATGTCCAAGGTGGACGACGCGGTGGCTCAAGGCATGGATGAGACCGCCGTGGATGCGCTCCGAAACCTCTTGGTTGAGTTCCAAGATGTGTTTCGGTTGAAGTTTGGTCGAGACCCGCCGCTGAAGGTGCACCTGAAGCCTGGTGCGGTTCCCGTGAAGTCTGGACTCCGCCGGCACCCTCCTACGCACCTGGCGTTCCTTGAGAAGCCTGTGCGGGAGTTGGAAGCGGCTGGTCTCGTGTATCGGACCACACGGCCCCGATGGGCTGCAGCGCCCAGGTTCGTGCCGAAGAAAGTTCCTGGAGACCTCCGGATGACGATCGACTCTCGACCCATCAACGCGTGTACCGAGCCGATGCCTTGGCTCATGCCTAAACTGGAAACGGCGATGGGTGTGCTGAAGGACTCCAGAGTGTACTTCACGCTGGGATGAAGGGCTACTGGCAACTACCGCTATATCCAAACTCCCAGGAGTTCTACTCGTTCATGACTCCGATCGGTGTGGTGACTCCCACGCGAGTCCTGATGGGTCAGTCTGATGCCGTGGCCTACTGCCGAGGTGTTTTAGACGAGCTGTTTGGGACTTGCTGATGCACGGCGCCTTGGGTTGGTTAGACGACCTCCTGGGATATGCCAGGAACGTGGACGACCTGTTGCAGC